CAGCTGCTGCACCTGTGAAAGCTGTAATCAATGTATGAATTTCATCAATATTTTCATCAGGTTCTAAGTGTTTTTTTCGAGAAAAAATCTTTGTTGCTTCGTAATGAAGACATTTCAAAAGGTGACTTTTACCTGTGCCTGCTCCTCCCGTAATAAACAAACGAAGAGGCTCGACATCAGGATTATGTAATCGATTTACACACCATTCTCGAACATGATAAAATATTTCTTGTTGTTCTTTGTTCATCGATTCTAACAATGGTCTCATTTCATCTGTCGTAGAATAAGTTTGTTTTAAATCAATAAACGTTTTTTTATTTTTACTTTTATGAATTACATTGAAATCAGGATTATCTTCTTGTTCAATTTCTCTTGACCACATACTATCTTTTTCTCTGTTAGCAACAATTTCAGCCCATTCGTCGTCTTTCATATTCAATGATAATTCATTGAATAGTGATTCTGTTTCACCTGTTTCTTTGACATGAGCTTCATATTTTCTTTGGTTTTCATGCACAATATCTTTTACTTTTCTTATACATTGTTGTCGAGCATCAAAAACTTCACCAATTTGATAAAATAATTCATAAGGCTTTTTCAATTCATTTCGACTTCTTATCGGTAAATAGAGAGAAAGTAGATTTTCAAAATAATTTTCTCTATCTGTTTCTCTATTGAAATATGGATACCGAATAATAGCACTACGATTGCAACGTTTTTTAATAGCAAAATTCAATGTTTTTAATCGTTTAATTGGAGTCTTTGGATTTTTAATGTTTTTATTAATCGATATGATTTCATATTCAGAAGCAAAATCTGCCATACAAATATCGAATTCCGGTTCTTCTGGTCTATCAAAATATTTGTCAGCTAAGTTAGACATATATATATTTTCGTCATCTGGATCCAATTCTTTTAATATATTTTGTGATTTTAAAAATTTACAACTATTTGAATGTGCTGGTACAAAAACAAAACCTCGACTTGAATATGTTAGTGGCATTTTAGTTGCACGGTAAATAGCCTCCTGTACACTGACTTGTCGATGATTAAAAAATGTACCTGTTAATTTTTTCATTTCTTCTCGAACGGACATATTTCCTTCACGACATTCTTTATGAGTTGCTTCTAGTAATAAACTCATTTCTCGTTCTGGTTTTGTTGTATATGACATAAGATATTTTGCACAAGCATATGGATCAAGTACGAATTGAATATCCATATTAGCATTCCATGTTCTCAATATTTCTTCATTATATTGATTAACCCATCGTGCATTAGGTTCTCTTTTATGAATCATGGTCGTTCTAGTATGAACAACACGAAGAGCACATTCGTAATCCTCATAGGTCCAATTATACTTTGCTAGAAGATTATCAAAATCCGACCATGACAAAATTTTTTCTTTTTCTAATTTATTCATCGTTGCATTCATTTCAGTAAGAATTTCTTTCATTTTTTTAAACTTTTGTTTATCATCATCATTCTCAGCTTTTAATGGTTCACAAATGAATGTCCGTCGAGCAACAGGCCGAGGAAATCCAAAACGACATAACATTTTATACAATTTTAAACAAGACTTTGAATGATTACGAGAATGAAACTGTAATTCTTTGACAAGATAGTGTAATATTGGATCTTCTTCTAATGATGGGAATCGTGTGGTAATATATTTGTCACAAAATTTAACGATTTCCTCACGAGTTTTTTCATCGGTTTGTAATCCAATGTAAACAGGTGCTCCTTTTACCCAAAGTGGCATGTGAGAATGTGGTGAACCTCGCATTTGCATTTCTATACGAGCAAACCAGTCTTCTACAATGCCTAGACACGATGCTCCACCTTTAATAAACAAATTCATAAATGTATTAAATCGTTTTTCAAACAAACGTGCAGCTAGAACAGGATTCGCACGTAAAAGCTTTGTTTTTTCTTTAAATGTATATGATTCTTTTATTGGAGCTCCAGTGTGACGTACAAAAGTATCAGTGAATTCTTTCCAACGTAGATCAGCACATGATAGTGTAAGAAAAAAGGTTGGAAAACCTAGTTGACGTGTCATTCCAAATAAGTCTTTTAAACGTTTATACCAATATTGTGGACTACCTCGAACACATTGGAAATGACGATATATCATATCTTTATTCATAAGAAATTTCATTTGCATTTCATCTAAACTTTGTTTAGCATTCATTGGTAATTTTTTTCGGAAAGCAATATTGATTCCGGAGTATACTTGTTTCAAGTCACCTAAATACTGTAGATAAAAGATGTAACTTGAATCTGAAGCAAAACGAGAATCTGATGAAAATAAACGTGCTTTACAATATTCTTTCCATCTAAGAATTGTTTGACGATCTTCGTCATATGAGCCTTGACCATCTGGAAATAAATGAGGAAAGGCTAATGCTTCAATCTTTTTATCTGTTAATAATGAACTTAATTTATTTTTTTCAGCTGGTGCCACTACGCATGGTTCTTTATCAAACACTAAAAAATCATTAAAATCACATGGTTGAGTACATGAATCTGTACCAATATTATATTTAGTACGAATATCCTTATCATCTTCATTGATTTCTTCATCACTATCAATAGTATTATCAATATCACCCAAAGCTAATCTTTTTAGACAATGTTCATTAGATACTTCTGTTTGTTCAATGACAGCTTCTTCTGATATGTTGTCAACATCCATTGGTTCAACTACTAATTCAATATTATTGTCATAGTTTTTTTCTTGATCAGATGTAAGATAATTTTCATGAATATTATTTATCTTTATACTTTTATATCCTGGATGCATCTTAGTTAAAACAAATAGTGCATCTCTTACATCATTTGGATTTATTAATTGTTCTTCCCATACAGCTTTGTATTTTAGTCGTCGTTTCAGTTGTAATCGAACCATCATCGACTTATCAACTGGACGAGGTAATGTAGTTACAGTGTCTTCTACATCTGATGGCACACAATGAAGTGGCCCTTTGGTACCTTTTTGTGACAATCTACTCGATAATTTTCCTGATGTTAAATTTACAATTTTCATAAATGGTAATCTTAAAGCAATTAAATGTTTTTCAAGATTATTTAATTTTTTTAGTTCAGATGGAACCTCACACACTTTCAACTTATTCACGACTGCTCGACTTGGCATTTGTCGTTTCTTTATTTTATCTGAACATAATTTACAGATCCATTTACTTTGGCTTGATGATGAATAATTAAAGTAAGATTGAATACGTTTTTTTATTTCATCTGACATGTTTTGTTTTATATACTTTTGTTCAACAAATGGTACAACCTGGTTACGAAAAAGTGCTAATCGACATGATATACAAACATAATCAGGTCCTTCTCGAATAATTTGTCGAAATCTATTCAAGTTATTCATATATAAATTTCTATGTTTAACTGCACATTTATGGCTTTGAATAACAGTATATTTTTTTAAAATACGTCTACGCTGATTATAAAGACGTCTTGAATTTTTTCTTATCAATGTATTGTTATTTTGATACCAATTCAAAGCACTCTGCATTATTTTTACTCGTATCGTATTATTCGATTTATACTTCTTCGAAAATTGAATTCTCATACGTTCCCTATATTCATCACGAAATTTTGTATTATTATGATATTTATTTAAAATACGTATCTTTGCACGTTCGTTATTTTCAGCACGGAAATTTGTATTGCTACGATATTTTACTAATATATGTGTTTGTACTCGAGCCTTTTGTTTTTCACGAAAATCATTGTTATTATGATACTTATTTCGAAAGTATTTTGTTACACGTTCATTTTTTTGTTTTCGAAATAAAATATTATGAGAATATTTTTTTCTGAACCAAATCCTTTGTCTAGTGTGCTTTAAAATTGATATTTCGTTATTAATAGTAGCTTCTGATATATTTTTTTGCTTTCGAATCTGTAATTGTCTTTTCCGTTCATTGTCTAGACGAGAAACTTTTGATACAAGTTTCTTAATAATATCTTTAATGATCTTGTAATCATCAAATTGCTCTTTCACCTTGATCACATCAGAAGATATAGCTTGCATATTTTTATTAACAAAATTGACGCAATCTGAAGGAATTGCATCCGCTTTTAATTGTCGCTTATAGACTTCTTTTCGTTTTTTTACTTTTGATAAAGTTGATTTTTTACGAACCATATCTGATGTAATGATATGTGATTAAATAGCTAAAATTGAAAACAATTACCGTTTCTCGTTGAGACTAAGCACGTATGTAAACTAAGCACGGCTTAAACTCCTAAGTGAGAAACGTCTATATCTCTTAACTTGATGAGATATTCAAAAGAAAAGTTTCTTTGGAACTAGATCTTCTTTGTTACTAAGCGAAGATATAGTCGACATTAAGTAAGAAACTTCAGAAAGTCTAAAACTAGGCGACTTTCTTTAAATGAAACTTTCAATTCGTTATTCTTTTGTTGTGTAATAATAATTACACTCAAAAGAGAAGTTTCTTTCGAGCTAGATCTTCTTTATTACTAAGCGAAGATATACTCGGTACTAAGCAAGAAACTTCAGAAAGTCAATAACTTGGCGAGTTTCTTTGGATGAAACTTTCAATTTACTATTGATTTTTTTTTGTAATAATAGTTATGACGGATGGAATCTAAAATAAAGTTAAAAAAAAATAAAATCGATAAGATAATGTGAGGTAGAGTATTGAAATGTATTCAATGTAGTCCTTAAAAAACCATTAAGACAAATTTTATTTATTTATCTAATTAATTCTAGTAGACATATGAAACTATAACTATGAAACTGTTCACCACATGAAAAACGAAAGACCAATAAACAATACCACTTTCTCCACAAAAAGAAAAAAACCATTGATAGTTATGATAAACATACAAAAAAACAGAAATAACTCCGTTCCTCCTTTTCCTCCATGTCGAGCTTCTTGAGTCGGAACACCTTGACCATATGATGAATGTTTATGAAATACTGACGGATAACCACTTGATTGCTAACTTGATGGTGAAGCAGCTGTTGGATATGTTGGTCGAAATGCATGTGGAAAAGGACAATGTTTTATCTTCAACATTTTTTCCATTTTTAAAATATTATCATGATCAACTACAATAAATTTTGCCATTTCAATTGATTGACAAACAACAAAAGCGAAATTTACTGCACTAACCTGAGAACGTGCATTACCAATACGAAGAAGAAGATTACTATAAGGTCGAAATATTTCATTAATCTAAATTTTAAAAAATTCTTTAATAAACAAGAAGAAAGAAATTTGTTCTTTACTTTTTAAATTCTTTTTCTGTTACTTGAGCTGAAAGATTTCTAACAAACATTTCTTGATCATCGTTATAACCAGTAGAACGATAACATTCTTCACTATTTCCATAACCCAAGAATCATCATAATAATCATTAACGTCCTATAGAACACTGCATCCTATTCGATTATTATTTCCACCAAATTTTATTACTTTTTTTATGTTATTTGATTCGTTTGACTTGATTTCCGTTGCTATTGATATTGATTAACTTTCAGTTTAAGTAGTTGGAAGTTTTTCTTTTTAACCAGTTCTATCTCGATATGATTTCGATTTTGATGTTTGTTTTTTCTTCAATTTTTGCTTGTTCAGTAAATGTTGTTACTGATGGAGTTATATTTGTAATTGAAGAAACATTCATTTCAGCTTTTACTTCTTTTTTTTCATTCATTGTATTAGCAAAAAATTCTAAATAATGAGGAGCCGTCCAGTGTTGCCACCTTTTGAAGTCCAAAAAGCAGAAAATAGTTTATAAAAAGCAGAAAATGACAGAAATTTTATTACTGAAAAACAGAAAAAAAGCAGAAAGCATATTTTTTGTGATGTAAACGATTTTAAAACTTTGTTCCAGTGTACTAATGAAGAATTTTCATATCAAATTTTGATCTCTCTTGTACAGAATCATGAAAAATAGTCAATCCATAAAGAAATAGGATTGTACAAGGTCAAGAAATACAACTACTTTATTGACAAATAGAATTATTAGATACATTTTCTATTGACTACATATTTGTCAGCTGGTTAAGTAGCTTTTAATAAATCTTGATTATCTAATAAATATTTACACATCTTATTCATGATAAGGAAAACTTTAAACGTATTGTTAATTCAAGTGATATAAGTTTTCTTCTCATGCAGTCCTTTGATCATATAATAAATGTTTCAATTATGAGAATGCTGAGTCAGCATTCTCATATCCAAATGATAGAGAATAAAACAAATATATGAACTTTTTAAAATGTGGTGATTGAATGAGAGGAAAAATAAACACTCGTAACTGATCGGATCTGACAATTTTGTTCACTGTTGAATTATCATCATTTAGAATAGAAGATACACATCAATAACTATTAGGAATGTATTGAGAGTGAAGATTCTGTAAGAAAGATGAGAAGTTTTCTTTTGTCAGAATTGCCAAGATCCAATCAAATTTTTATTTAGAATTACTTAGCTTGATTTCATCTAGCTATGCATACAACCAACCAGACCGATAAGAAAGTAAAAGGTTTAATATCAGTCAATCTGTTTGATTGTACGCACAGCTAAATGAAATCAACTTCAGCAATTCTCCATAAGAATCTCGTCGAGTTTTGTGGATTTTTGCAACAGAGAAGTTGTTATCCTTATTAGGCACTATTCATTCTCAATACATCTCTAGTAAGTATGAACAAGAACTTTGTTATAATGATGAAAAAATCTTTTAAAAGCAAAAATCTTGATTAAAAATATTAATAATACAGTATTTTAAAAAAGCAGAAAAATGCTCAGAAAGCAGAAACGACAGAAAAAAAGCAGAAAAATCTTCAAAAAGCAGAATTTTTCTGCTAAAAGCAGAAGAGGTGGCAACTCTGGAGCCGTCAGTATTATTGGTGTTTCAATCAATGTTGATCAAGTTGTTGTACTGCGAAGAATTTTATATAATGTTACTAAAAAAAAATTACAAAATTTTTTATTCGGTGATTAATCAGTTCATTGTGTTAGTGGAATACAATAAGATTTTTTTGTTTATTAAATTTGTTTTCAGAGAAAATAGAGTTAATTTCGGAACAACTGTTTTAGTATGAAATTATCATATAAAGATTATTTCAAGAGAGAAAAACTCATTCGGATATTTTGAGACTTTTCGAACCATGCCCTATCATTCGCTGTTATTCGAACGACTCAGAATGAGGTTTTTCCTTTTGGATTATTTCGAAATAACACATAGATATATGGGAAGTCTATCCTTTAAATTAATATTGATACCAGACTTAAAGGTAATCGAGTAAGAAGTGAATTGATCGAGAATGCAAACATCTAGTAATGGGCGGTTTTCCTCAGATCATAATCAGACTCAGTAGAAGACATAGGTTTATAGAAAATCTAAGGGTTAGACAATTGATTATAATAGTTAGTTTTATGAAATCTTTGAAACAAAACATCCATTTTCTTATATAATCTGAATGAATCAAGTTGAAACTTTTAGCATATATATTCCTGCTGTAAGCCGATGTCTTCTGGAAAATATGATCGATAATTCTTATAATGCCGTATAATGCTTATAACGTCTGGTGCGAAAGTTTCTGGACAAAATGTTCCTTCATTTTTCGATCGATTAAGACAATCAGTAGAAAGTGTTAATCATATGCTCAGAATCAGAATTTTGTGTACTTTCAGAATCTATGTTCAGAATTTTTGTGAGGCTCATATATTAGGAGTTATGAGCAAATCTTTGAAAGCTCCGAAAATCGATATTGGACGGAGAAGGTTCCACTAACGGATTCTGAGACAAAGAATGTGACCGTATCCTGGTGTAAATTGGTTTCATGCTATTGCTCAGTAATTTTTCTCGTTACTTTCGTATTTCTGTCGTAAGAACGCCCATTTCGTTTTCTTCCATTTTCGTTTCTTTGACTGTATTACGTTTTAAATTTTTTTGGATCAGCACTTGGATAGTGAACTGCCTTGCCAGCAATGATATTCTTTATTTTATGCGTTCTATTAGCGATTTTTTGCACAGCATAAGGGCTGAGATTGTCCTTTATAAGATCAGCTAAGAACTGAGAATCTAGCGGCTATCAGTCAGAACCGATCGAGTTCATTTTGTAAGTCTGGAAATCAAGAAATTGCGGACACGTCATTGTATCTCATACCAAAACTCTGATTCTCGATAGACGCCTAAAAGAAAACCGATGATTGGGATATCTTTTTGTCGAGAAATGTTTGCTCTTTCTATCAGTGTATACAAAATAAATGTCAGCTCTATCCTGGACGTTTTATTAAGCACTGAAGATCGTCCAACCATGATTTTCAGAGCCTTCAAAGATTTGCTCATAACTCCTAATATATGAGCCTCACAAAAATTCTGAACATAGATTCTGAAAGTACACAAAATTCTGATTCTGAGCATATGTTTAACACTTTCTACTGATCGTCTTAATCGTCGAAAAATGAAGGAACATTTTGTTCAGAAACTTTCCCACCAGACGTTATAAATGAGAAGAGTCAGCGAAAATTTCATAAAGGAAATAATGTACGCAATACATATGTTACAGCCAATCTCATACACTTTTTAGGAGAAATATATTGCTTAATTATATACTTAATTGAAATGTCTGAGATTGAGCTTTGTCAAATATATTAATATTTGGATTAGTTAATAGTAATTGTTTACATTTTTCTTGTGTTTGACTATCAATAATTACTAGACATGAATCATTATCTATATTATACTAATATGTTAACCAAATCGAATTAGCTTTATTACGAATCTAAAAAAAAAAGAATTTTCCTTGTAGAATTTAATGAAAACGAAAATATTTGAAATCTCATACTGATCTATTAATTTTTTAAAATTTTCACATTCAATGAAAAATTGGATATATTTTTTGAGTAACGTAGGTTCTTTTTCTAAAAATTTCTACAAATGCATTTAAGCCAATATCATTATTAAGTAATTTTTCAAAACTAACTGTTCATAATGTTGTTGAACAATGTTGTTCATTTAAGTCAATTGAACCTTCTTTAATACTTGTTTCATGTTGATATGATAATTCATCTTCATTGTTAATTTCTGTTAAACAGTGATAAGAAGAAAAAATGATTATATAATTTAAAGAAAAAGTTATAAACATACAGAACCAGTTATTAAAATATAAACTGAAGCAAGATGTGTACGTAAATATTCAATAGATAATAAAGGATCAATAAATGAACTTGATGGATGATAGTGAAAATTACTTGTAACAATTAAATATAAATCATTAACAAATGAATGACAATGAGCATGATGATCAATACATAAAAATTGACCAGATGCTGTGCTTGATGTTATGCTAGTTCTTTCTAATTTGTTATGAAGTAATTTATCATCAACGAAAAATGATGAAGATGAAGACAAACATGCTATTGGATAAAAATCATCATCTTGACAAAATCTGTAGAAGAAAAATATTTTATTGAAATTAATAAATGAATATAAAATTTTACTCAAGTGGTGGTGGAATATATTGTTCACATTGTCATCTTCATCATCTAATTTTTCAATTGAACATTATAATGGATTTAATGATGATGATGCCATAAACGATTGAGATGGTGTGCCTGTTGTACAGAAGTTAATATTTGAATCAATTGATATTGCACAAGAACGATTTGTTGAACATGTATCTAGAAAAAATATTGTCATAAAAAACTGCTACATCGATTTAATCAATGATATATGAAATATGAGACTTTATGAAAATCTCGAAACCATCATAATTTTCCGCACCGAACCCGAGATTTCTATTTCAAAAAGGCTGATGAAATCTATAGACATTCTTATTTTGTATGAACTTGTTTTCAGTAATTACCAAAATTCAAAAAAGAACTGAACATATTTTTATATTGGTTTCTACATAGTTCCAAATCTTAACTGGTAATGAAAGAAACTTAATTCGTTCTTCAGTTTTTACTAAATCCCACAGTCGAGAACATCAGCTTGATAATTTCTATAGTACATAGAAAGCATTTTATTGCAATATATTAAATACCGATATAATTAATAAAAAATATGCCCTTCTGGTAGAGTTCGTTGGTTCCAAAATAATTTCAATGAAGTATTTTAGTCTAAATCTGATAGTTGCTCTGAAAATGCGGGATACTTTTTATCGGTTATTTGTATTCTGTGACTAACACATCCTACATATTTCTCACGAAATCTTGGTGATGATATTACAATAATTAAGTCATAATTGACTGCTAATTTTAGAGCATAATCAATTGGATTGAGTCTGAGACTAACCTGACGGGCTTTACCACCACGATACTGTTGAAAAACATCAACTAATTAAAAATGTTTTATAAAAACCTATGACAAACCTGATTCATCTAATCTCTTTATTTAATATTTATTTTCTATAGTACATTGACGATTTGAATGATGTTTTGTTCTAGTAAACAAATATTGAACAATTCTATTTCTTTCATCTGCGGAGGATGCATGAAAAACAAAAAAGGAAGTTGAATTATGTTCATAATTAAATTGGTTAATATTTTCATCAATTTCAATTGAAGAATAAAGTATAAATGAAAATAATGTTGGTAGAGTATTAAATAAAAGAATATAACTTAAATATTTTCAACTTGACAATTTAAAACATAATGGATCTATTTGAAATTATTTACATTGAAAACAAGATTCAATTTTATTTGATGTTGAATTTAATATTTAATGTTTAAAAAATTTTTGATTTTCTTTTAACTAATTCATTTTAATTTTTATTATTATAATTAATATTAAAATAGCTAATATAGGGTGTCCAGAAAGTAACTCCACAAAGAATAGCTTACATATATATCTCCACCATATTTTGACCAAACGGGCTGATATTTTTACCACTGATAGAGGAGTGTGCATAGTTCATATTCATAAAGGACACGTTGTCAAAAATTGTTTAGAAATAGTACAACTAACTTCAACAAAAAACTGAGATCTTTCGTGAGTTATAAGAAAAATGATACTGCAGTTTTCTCAATAGATGGAACTTGCAGGATACATTTAGTAACGAGACATGTATCTGTCAGTTAACTATGAAAGCAAATGATGCTAGTGCAAGGTAGTCAAAAAAAAAAAATAGATGTCATTTATTCTTAGCTAAGAAAATAAATATAATCTTTTTTTCATAACTCGAACTATGCTACAGTTTTTTGTTGAAGTTAGTTGTGCCACTTCTAAACAATTTTTGACAACATTTCCTTTATAAATAAGAACTATGCACACTTCTCTATCAGTGATAAAAATATCAGCTCGTTTGGTCAAAATATGGTGGAGATAT